CCCCACCCGATAAAATATTATCGAATGTTCCTTCACCACTTCCCCTCTTTTACCATAGTATTTAATTATAAACGAAGTATCTTCATTTGTTTTCTTTTTTATTTTCATTTTCTTTTTTATTTTCATTCTCTTTTTCATTTTCATTTTTTTTTCTTTTTCATTTTCATTTTCTTTTTCATTTTTTTTTCTTTTTCTTTCTCTTTTTCTTTTTCTATTTCTTTTTCTTAACGTTGAGAATTGTTTGACGTTAACCTAACTTTTCCCTTTTTCTGATCACAATTTATCTCCAATTTATGGCGAAACGTTTTCCCTATAAATATATATAGTTATTCTATGTTAAGAAATGAATATCTCATGGTTTTTCTTGTTTTATTCTATCATGTTGACATCCCTTATTTACTATTGTCACCTAACCTAATCAACCCCAAATCACCCCGAATACAGCCCTGATCCTTTTATCGGCCAAATTGCAAGGAACCTATGCATATATAGCTTTTTCTACGGTGAATGCCAAACGAATGCGAGCAGTTTCTGGATATTACGTCATTCCCTTTTTTTCTTTCTGCCATTTCGAACGTCCCTTCCTCGAATCTTGGATTTCTCTAAATATGCATAGCGTATTTAAATCTGAACAAATAGGAGCAACCAATGCACAGGGAGATATTTTCATTCAAATGCTGGCTAAAAATATTTTTATTAATTCATCTAGCAATAAGTTCCTAAACATTTTATTTTATTTTATTTTTGGATAAATATATGTATATATGAGTCGCCTATTTTGAAAGTGGCTTACCTCCATTTATTTATGTTCGATTGAAGGGTTTGCGTTTCAATGCAATGAAAAATATACGTACAAGATACTAACGAGTCATACTGCTTAAGTGTATCTAAAGGCTTTAAATTTATATTTCCTATTAAAATAGTGGCAATTATTAAATGAATAATATGCGTTTTCTAACCACGAATGGAGTTAGGCCATTGTCAATATCAACAATTTGATTTGTTATAATTTTCGAAGGGACCTAACTCCATACAACATAATTTAAGATGCTTCAAATTGAAAAAAAAACAATACTCAATTTATTTTACATATCTTTAAAAAACTTCAGAAACATAATTTATGCGATTCAAAATATTTTTTAACTAAATAACCTACAAAATTACAAATATAACCTACAAAACAATTTACTATTCATCTACATTTTGTGTGTGTGAAAGAGATTTGAAGAAATCATGATGTTCCGATGATACATATCGTAATAGTCAATTATGTCCTTAAATTTTGCTGTTGTAATTTGTTTGATATTTTATATAGTGGTGTCAATACAGTATTTTCGAACTTTTTTGGTCTACCTCGACGTGGTAATAAATTCAGGACTTTCAAATTTTCATTCTTATTCATTGATGTCTTGTAGAAAATTTTATACGGTTTATTTCTGACAAAACGCATCCAACATATTTTTAACTAGTTTATTGATTCTTCATCAGAATTCTTCACCCTTTTCAAAATTGCGTCTTCTAATAATTTTGTTCATACAAAATCTTTTTGTCTCATTTTATTTACAATAAAGTATTATCATATTTACTTGGAATATAAGCAACCTCAAATGCTTTATTGATACATAACATGAAGTTGTACAATAACCACGTGCAACCGGAAAATAATAAATGACGAATGGAGATAAGCCACTTTCAAAATAAACTTTTCATCATTCTGTTGATCGGCAAATTTTCTTGTTATAATATCTTCATGGTTTTAAATATATTTGTAACAAATTGCTTCAAAATGAAAAGATCATGTAAAAATGTAACTATTACAGTAGCTAACTCGATTTTTTTGGAAAATGGAGGTAGGCCACTTTCAAAATAGGCGGCCCATATATATATATATATTTTTTTTTTTTAAATTATTTTAACTTTTAAACATTCACATCGCACACATATCATAATAAGGATTTTATAAAATTCTGAATAAAATACTAAAAATATCGTGTGCGTATTAAATTTTACAAAAATAATAAAATTTAAAAATTAACGAAAAAGATGTTTTTTAATATAATACAGTTATAGTATATTTTAATAAAGCAGAACATTTTTTTCAGTAATCTATTGTAGTTTGCTAATAAACTGTTGTTTACGGGAAAAGAAATATGACAGTTTACTTGCATATACGAAAATGAATTAAAAAGTTTTCGAGTTCCTAAAAAATAATTTATTATTTCTTTTTTTAAATAAAAGTGAGTTTGACCTCAATAAAATTTTTTTCATGTTAGGCTCAACATTTTTTAACCTAAACACCTATATTTAGGAACTAAAAGATGAAATATTATTAATCATGTAAAGTTTTTAAAATTTACATATTTGGCCAGTTTTCGAATGTAAATATCCCACTGTGCGATGGGACAGAGAACCAAATTTCAAAATCCTCAGACATTAAGATTCGACAATGTTCGGAATAAGAAACGATGGATGCAGAAAAAGAAAAATAATTTTTCTCTGTCCGATCGCATTAAAAGCCAGGCACATTGCTCTAATTACGGTAATGGTATATGGTGTTGTATGGTGGTTTAGCAGTGGCGGCTATGGGAACCTCGACAATGCATGCTACGTCACCCACGAAGCCCGGTGAGTCTCACACGATCTCAATTTTTATTTCGTTAATCGCTGATATCTTTCTAATAATATCGATCCTTCATGGATTGATTGATCATTATATCTTTCTTCTTTTCTATCGGATAACTTCTTATATTTTAAATAATAATAAAAAGAAAAAAAAACGAAAAAACTATCTATTGTTCGTTGTTTTGTTCGAAATTAAAATCGTAGAAATATGGAAATTATACGTAACGTCATTTCAAGAATATTATCAACATTTTTCATACATTATTCATATTAATAAAATAAAAAAAAAAATAAAAAATAAATTAACGGGCGATACAACAAACATTTCATCGTTGTTCGACGTAACATTGGCCCATCTAGTGCATGTCGTAAATCCCCTGAAGGAATCCATTTTATGTAAATAATAAATAATATTATTTGTTAAAAAGAAAAAAAATTCCTAAGAAATAAGACGAAAGAAATGAACGTTGCATCGCTCGATTCGTATAAACGCGAATCAGTCTCATTCGGCTTCTCTCTATTTTCTTTCTTCTCTTTCTCTCTCTTTTTCTCTCTCTGTCTCTCTCCACATCTCTTCCTCTCGTGGTTCCAAACCGAACGTCATCGTATCGGACAACAAAACTGTTCTTCACGGGATGAAAAAAAAAACAAATACAATGACTAAATTCGATTTTGACAACCAATGACGAAGCAGGCGGCAGCCCAACGGATATCGCACCTTCTACTACCAGCACAGTTATGTCGAGTGGTTCGGTCCCAATTGCCACTTCCACACCTGTAAATCTAGCAGCTGGTCCAGTAAGTCCACCACCATTGAGCTTAGGCATCACTCAAACTGTTCCCCATCAAGAACAGAACGCTTTGGGTGGTGGAGTGATTGGGAAATCATCAACAACAGCAACCAGTTACCCGGCCGTATTGAAGGGAAGAAGTAGTGCGAGTCCTCCTAATCCTAATCTGGTACCTTCTGGAAAGGTTCCACCACCTGTTCCACCTAGAGGCTCAGGTGCAAGGTCTGCCAGATCACCTGGACCTACCACAACCTCCTCGTCTTCGATAACTTCCAGTCGAGGTGACGAAGCAGCCCTAATCACGAGCAGACAATACCGCTTGCATGACAGTTCGACTATCCTGCATCACCGTCCCTTACCCTATAATACTTCTACTACTATTACTACTACTTTCGACACCCTCACAACCATTTTCGACACTACCACCATCACCACTACTACCACCACCACCACCATCGGCACCAAAGAATATCCAATAATGTCGGCCGAGATCTACGACGCCTTGCATGCTCATGCATCCACTCCAGCCTTTTTACCACATTGCCATGAGAACCTACCCCTCATCAATGATGCCATCCGAAACAGGGGTGTCATCCTCGAGGAATCACCCGAGCAACAAGACGACGAAGAAGAGGAATTCGTTAGTGTTGAAAAGATCGACAATCGTTACTTCATCAAAACAAGTCCTTATCCTTTCAGACCTGAAAGAAGGAAATGCAAATCTACGACAGACGTAACAATGAAGTCAGCCAAATCATATCCTATCGAAGACATTTCTAAACCAATTAAGAAAATCGATCATATGGCTAAATTCACTTATTTCATAAACCCAGCTTCAAGAGATGACCTCATGAATTATAAAATGTCACGAAAAGATAAAAAACATTCGGAAACTTATCACGAACGTATGAAACGTAAACAGATGGAAATCGATGCTTCCATCAATACGATTACTGCGATTACTCGACAAAATCGATCGGATATTCCATTCGATCAAAAATCTCGATCTTGGAAAATGTTTGATTCAAATGAGAGACTTCCAAACGTGTCAACCAATATTATCTCTAGAACGAGCGATCAGAATCAATCAAAAATTCTCGAAATTAAGAAAGAAAATCGTATGTTAAAAAAAATCAAAGAAAAATCATCAATCAAAAGAAAGAAAAGATTGGTACCAATACCAAATATGAAGAAACAATTCACTCGAGATTTTGATGAGACTGGACAAAAAAGGATCATAAAAGAAATCGAGAAAGTGTCCTTGGAAAAGGATCCATGTTCTAGCACTTACGTTGATGGTACAGCATCCTGCGATAACGTCAACATCGATATTAAAAATGTTGAAACTTCTTATCAACGTTCGATATACTACTATGATCAGGTCGATCAAAGATTAGGAAACGTTAGAAAAGATCATCGGGAAAGAATTTTTAGTCCAATGGCTTCCACCAGTTCGAAGGAACCACAATCCGGCAAATTTTTGACCAAATTTACTCGAAAAGAATCGAAAATGATGAAAATGAAAAGTGGATTGGATAAAAAGACTGCTATTCGAGATGAAAATTTTCCTTCGACGGAAGGGCACGTCGAGGGAAAGTATTTAAAAGATAAATCCGACAAATTGAAACCGAATTACTCGTTCTTGCACAGTTACAAAAATACTCAATCATCATTAAACAAATAGATTCTAGTTTACGATTCTAACAATTACATCGATGAGAAATAATCGATACACGTATATAAACATACATACTTATTTATTTCTGCATGCTAGTGGAACACAAAACTGGGATTAATACATATACAATTACCACATATACGCAAAAACACATTTACAAAGAAATTATTTTCTTAATTTTATCTTACATCCATCTCTGCATCTCATCTATTTATTTTTCTATATTTTTTTTTTTTTTAACATATTTTTTTTTTATTTTGAAATTTTTCTTTGACGTATTTATTGAATATAAAAGTTGTTCCTTTTGATTTTATTCATTCTTTTGGATTAAAAGTTCTGTGTGTTAGGGGAATTGTTAAAAAAATATGATAAATTCAACAGAATAAGTTGAACGAGTTTATTTAAAATCAATTTTAATCCTCTCACATTTATTTAGTATCTTTATCTTCGTTACATCAATCCCAAACGTCGATATTGGAATATCGACTGAGGCGTATTAAACAAATAAAACATAATTAAAATATCAAATAAAAAGATAAGGAAACGATATCGATTATGTGGATGTTTTCGTTGTGTTCGAGTATCTTCGAAAGACATTATTGCATGCATAGGACCTTTTATATTTAACTGTTTAGCTTTTTATCTCTCTCTATCTCTCTCTGTCTCTCTTTCTCTTATATATATATATGTATACATATTGTATAATATAATATATATCATTTATTATATATAATTATTTATATATATATATATATATATATATATATATATTATATATATAGGGGCTTCTCAAATTTTTCCACTTAACGATTCCCTTTACCCCCATTTCATTCATAGAAATTCTATACGTGTCATGTTCTCACATTTTTAAATTAATTTTCAGGTATTTGTGAAATTTTTTAATTTTACCCAAATGCTTACGACACCGTACGGGGTCGTTAGTATTAAATTGAAAAGCACTGATTTATATATAATTTATATATTATAATATATATGAAGATATTAGTAATTTGTGTGTGTGTATATACATATATATGTATATATATGGCCATGAGAATTAGCTTATGCTTGGCGTTGTTTGCTTCGAGATTTTGCTTGGTTTTATTGCTATTTGCACTTTTTAATGCATATTTTGTATTACGGAGATGAAAAAAGGGGCGTTCACGCGATTAGAATGTTTAACTTTCTTTTTGATCGCAGTATCATCCCTCTTATCTCCAATATTTATTCCTTGTACAATATATATATTTTATTATGATCCATTCCTGCTTGCGTAGTTTAAAAAAAGAAAACATTTTTCGAACACGTACATTTTGTTTGTTCTATTTAACAATTTTTAACAAAAGCTTGTTTAATAAATTCATTATAATATTTCTCCTCAACTCCCATACCTCAGAAAGAAAAAAAAATTGAAGAAAAATATTTCAATTATTTACAAAAAAAAATACAATCAGAATTGAATGATAATATTCCCCTCCCCCCCCCCACGATTTTTACGATCGCTTTTCTGTTAGATTTAATTTTACTCTTTTCATCTCCTTATAAAAGCATCTTAAAAAAGTTTTGTTGAAAAAAAAAATCTCAACACGTACACGAATAAAAACGCTCCCTTTTAGATTGACAGCTATAGTAATAATAAATATAATAATAATAATAGAAAAAAGCAAAGACAAAATAATCGGTAAATTGCAGAATGTCAAGTGTTCATTAGTAGCTAATGTAGTTGCGCTTTTTGTAGGTGGCACCCTCCCCTCTACCTGTTCCACCCCGCCCCCACCTTTTGACGATGTAGTCCGGTCTAACGACCAGACACTGGCTTCCGGTGGTCATCTACAGCAGGCTGTTACTACAAGTATACTCACCAGCAGCTTGAGCAGTGCCCATTCCAAACACAACAAGGTCGTTCATCATGTCACTCTTACCAAATCAAATCATGATGCAGTCAGGTAAAAAAACATCAAAATTATTTTTCGAACTTACTGATAAATTTTTTTTTATATTCTCCATTTTTCTCCGCATAGAAATACAATTTTGAACGATCTTTACATTTGTTATTTAAAAAATAATATTTACAGAAGTTAATTGATTATTTATATTTAAATAAAAGTTATAGAAATTATTTAATACGTTGATTGCTGCGCACATTTCCGGTGATTTACCTGTGACGCCTATATGAATTTTTTATTATGGACGTCACCGGTGACCCTCGAGGCGTTGTAGACCATTTTTGTAATTATCAGTTGTTTTAAACTACCCAAAAATGATAGTAAATTAAAATTTATGGAAATCTGTTATTGATTTGTCTAATTAAACGGCTACTTATAATTCACCACTGTGAAGAACTATAAAATGTTATAGGAAATAGACAATAAAACTTTTACTGATTACTTGTGCTGTAAATTAAATGGTGTTATACAAACAAGTAATTCGAAAAACTATTTTAATTTCCGATTTTAGAATGATGTTAACAATGTATTTAGTGAAATAGTCTGATGATGAAGATTGTATTTTATCAAGCAATTATGTACAGAAAAAAAGTCGTTATATGTCATGCACAATTTTCTTGTAATTATAAAATTATTTTTGCATGTTGTATATGTCATTATTTTCTTTAAACCCATCTAAAAACAATAGTAGTATTTAAAAATTTATCAATATCGATATTTACTCTAATTGAGTCGTTTACCTTGAAAGTGACCTAAGCCCATTTATTTTCGAATTAACATATTCAAGGGTTTGCGTTGGATTAAATTTAAAAATTACTGATAACAAATAGGGCATAGTAGTACAATAGAATAATGTTTTTCGGTTTCTAAAGGTGTCGAATTTATCATCCCAATTAGCATAATTAACATTATATAAGAAATATTATGTTTTAGATGGCTATGATTAGACTTAGGACACTTTCAAAATGAACTTATTCATCACTTCATTAACCAGCAAATTTTCGTATTACCAAATCTTAATGAATTATATTAGGTCGTCCCAAAAATTTCTTGCTTTTTCTTGGTGATAAGTTGCATAACATTATTTATTTTATGTTATTTTACTAAATAATATCGATTCTACTCTATATTACCTTTTTATATATTGTATATTACTCAACATAAAAAATATTCTACGCGTAAAATTACTAAAAAAAAAAAAAGAAAAGAAAAGAAACTTTGGGGACGACATAATATTAATAACAAGTATCTTTAGAATGAAAAGATCATGTAAAAATGTAACTATTACGATAGCTAACTCGGTTTTTTTTGGAAAATGGACTTAAGTCACTTTCAAAATAAACGGTTCAATTATGTATTTTTATTATCGTTCGTGTTAAGGTCATCGGTGATGTACACGACAATCAACGTGTTTATTATCAAGGCACCGAATTAATTTCTATACATAATAATATAAACAAATTATTATCATAATCAATAACCAACGTAAGATTATATATAATAAAAACATAAACATTATTATCTTCAGTATATCGGACGTACACTTGGAGAGTAGTGGAAGTGGAAGTGGTAGCGGTGGTAGGGAAACTAAATCATCGCTAAGCGTTGAAAGTGGTGGTAGCAGTCGTGGTGGAGGCGGCTTAACGTGGACACCACCTGCTGGTAGTGCTGAAGGATCAACACCTACTTGGACGGAAGGGACACCATCTTTTACTGAAAGTTCAAGCAGTGGTGATATAGGTAAGTTCATCTACGCCCTCAACATCTACTACAAATCTTGAAGATGGTTTCAATGATTACGTCTTCTTCCTCTTCTTCTTCTTCTTCTTCTTCTTCTTCTTCTTCTTCTTCTTCTTCTTCTTCTTCTTCTTCGTCTTTTCCGTCTTCTCCTTCTCCTTAATCCTCTTAATCATCATCATCATCATCTTTTTCTTATTCTCTATTTATCATCTTCTTTTATCAGATTCTAACACATGACCACTTTAAAAAAAGAAGACAATAATAATTTATTTATTTATTTATTTATTGATATAATTAATTCATTAATTAACGATAGGATTAACAATGAGTTTATGGGTCTGAAAATTGATTATGTTTCCATCATCAATGTCTCGTTCGCTGTATTAAATAAACGTATTTAAATCAGACCCTATTTGGAAAATGATAACATTCTTGTTTTTAACCTTTTAGTTATGGTGAATATGGTTGTGAAAAAAGTGTGTCGCTTATACGGATTGTTTGACAGTAAAGTGCATATAATCAAAATTATCAAGGATGCTACGTTAAAGTTTTAAATAATGTTAGTTTATGTTATTGGGTTGGTCAATAAGTTGTATCGGAATTCTAAATATTTTATATCGAAATAAATATAAATTTAATAATAATGAGACGATTAGAGTGTAATAGCAATATTATGTCACATAAGTAATTTGAAAAGTTTTTAATTTAAAAAAAACTTACTAATAGTGTTTATTTATATATAAAATTATTTTCAAGAAATGCATTAATATTTAATAATTAAATCAAATAACCAAAATTCCGACATTAATTATTGTCCAATTAGAAAATATAAGATCGTCACTGAAAATTAAATTGAAAATAAACATAAATTTCCACCGCTATCATGCACCGTACACGGCTTTCAAAGCAAACAAGAAATATAAATAAATAATTATAGTTCTTCATTGAAAGAAATCTTCATTTAAAAGCAAACAACTATAATGACGCACAACAATTAAAAGGTTTAATATTTTATTCTTAATTTATATATGTAAATAAAGTCATACATATATATATATGACGGCAATTTATAATTTAATTAGAATTATATAGTGGCCTGATTCAGTACGTTCAAAAAAAATAGGTGTAGCTTTCATATTTTTGTTGTTGTTTTATTTTTTTGTATTATTAACGTAACTAGTAACTATTTTAGTTTATTATATTGAAATAATTATTTTTTTGTATTATCTATACTTTTTGATACATCATAAAATCGTGACTCATTTTACATTCCGAATTCAACAAGACATCTCTAAATTGAAGTATATTATTAATTCTAATTAATATTAAATGAAACATTCATATATTAGAAAGAAAAGTAACACGCTTGGCTCGAAGAAATAATAAACAAACAATAAGCTTTTAACACTTCGAGTTAGTTTAACAATTAAATTCATACAATCATTTCATTTACTTTATAACAAAACTTCTATTTGAAAATTAATTAGTTGTCAATATTTCTTTTTCAAACATACTCGAAGTGTTATTAATTAATTAAAAAAAAAAAACAACAATAAAACAAATGCAAAAGAATAAATTTTCGAAAAAATTAATACAATTTGTCAACTATAATGACTATAGATAAAAAAAATATATATAACGTATATACGAGGGTTGGAACTTAAATAGTGGCAACTATTTATTCACAACCGGTACAAAAAAGTTACATGTTTGCACCTGTTACTGTCCTTCAAAGTAGTCACCAGCGTTGTGTAGAACCCGTTGCCAGCGATGTGGAAGGCGTAGTATACCGTTAGCAGAGCCTGTTCTGTTGATGATGCGAGTGGAGCGGTCTACTGCCATGTCTCATCCAGTGTTACAATACGGCGTAAGAAAGCCTCTGCTTCGCGCTCATAGCGCTCTAAGTGCGTCTGAGCAGCATCGTAACGCATCCATTTCTGCATTTCTGTCAATTCATGCGGAACCCATGGTGACATTCGCTTCAGAACTATTCCAGAGATTCGACAGGCAGTAGACCGCTCCATACGCACCATCAACAGAACAGGCTCTGCTAACGGTATACTACGCCTTTCACATCGCTGACAACGGGTTCTACACAACACTGGTGACTACTTTGAAGGACAGTAAACATGTGTGAAGGTACAAACATGTAACTCTTTTGTATCGGTTTTGAATAAATAGTTGCCACTATTTAAGTTCCAACCCTCGTACATAAACAAAATGAATACGACACGAATAGATATTTTATGATTAGTTTTCTAATATTTTTTTTTTCTACATAAATTCAACTGCCTAACGAAATTAGCTTTAGATACGAAAAAATAATTGAAAGTTACATAAACACGTCGTGGATATTATAACTAACATTTTTTATTACTATTAATAATCTTTTAATGTATTGTTTTTCTAATTCGAATATCCGATTATTGTAACTTTAGATAAAAAAAAAGAAAAAATTAATCGTAACATATAAAAACATCATTGATACTTCACTATAACGAGTTTTCTTTAAATTTTATTAATTGTTTTCTAAGCAAGTGATTAGAAAAAGAGCAAAAACATATTTGATACGCATCACCATTGCCTTTGATTATTTCTTTATACTTGCAGGTATCGTTAGCCAGGATAATTTCGTAACTCGTTCTAATCGTAGGAGAAAGTGTTAAGTTAATTGACGAATTTCTTTTTCTTTTTTCTAAGAATGAAAGAGAAAGAGTGGGAGAATAAGAAATTGAGAGAAAGAAAAAGAGAGAGAGAAAAAAAAAGAGAATAAGGGTTTAAAAAATCTTAAGAAATGAAATAAAAAAAAAAGCAAGAAAAAGATCATAAAAAAGAAGAAACAAAAATACAACAAATAACTCAGTGCCTAAAATCTAATCTCGTTATCTATATGTTGTAGATTGTATTTCAAGGTTATCGTCCGTAAGTGTTGCGAGGAAACGTATTTAATTCACACACACACACACATACACACAACTCTTCGAGTGCCCTGCCTCCCCTCTAAGTGATCGAAAAATGGCACTACTGGACGTTTATATAAACTGCCATTTCGAAAGCGTTTATTCTTTCAAAATAATTATAGTAATAATTGTTATTATTATTTTTTATTCTAATAATATGAATAATAATAATAATAATAAAGAATAATAAGAAGTATGATAAAAAAAAAAGAATTGAAAAAAAATTCTTCAAATTTGAAAAAAAATTGATTATTTTCGATAGACGCTTTCGAGATTATGTTCGAAATAATTATTCACTTAAAAAAGAATTAGAAATAGTAATTAAAAAAAAAAAGAGGGCAAAATAATTTAAAAAGAACTCAAGGTATGCTGTCATAAATTTACAATATACATCAAAAACAATTACAATATACAATACATACGTAAATGTATATATATATATACTTACTCTTAATAATACCCTTCATTTATAGCCCTGTTTAACTGATTTTGATTCTATATATAAATCATTGTTGTCATGTATATTTACATATTTGATTTATTTTTTTCATTTTATGCGACTATCAAATAAAATGATTGTGACAATAAAGCTAAATACATTACTAAAGAAACAACAAGAAAAACATTTTCAAATTAATCAAACTATCAAAACAAAACAAAAATACAATTAACCCTTTCACTACTACGGGTGACTATAGTCACCCGCCACAAAACGACACCCGCACACGACGGGTGACTATAGTCACCCGCTCCAAAAATGGAACCAAATGTTAAGATAAATGGTATCGCTTCGTGTATTATTAATTGTATTGTTGAATTAAAAATATATCCATGGAAAAATTATGAACACAAATCATTTTGTTTCTAAAAGTAATGTCACAAAGTCGTTTTTGAGACAAAAGGCTCCGAATGCTAAAGACTGCGCGCACTTAATGTTCTTACTTTCGGTACGTCGCTCCGTTCTAGACGAGGTACTCCGCGGCGAGGCCCACCGTAGCGAAAGGGTTAAATACAAAAAAGAAGGAGAGAAAAAGTTCAATTAATCATTTACACGAATAAAACTTTCTCTAATAAAAAAAAAATAAGTGGGCCAAAAGTTTCAAAGTGATTTTAAAAATAAGTACTCTCTTTTATAATCATACAAGTTTACGATTAGGTTTGTACAATATGACAACAAAGTTAACTTATAAAAAGATCTCGAAAAAGAATAATTAGAATTGAAAATCACGTAAAAAATGTTTGCTCCAATTTTGATATTTTTTAATCTTTCTTCTCTTCTTCTTTCATCTTCTTCTTCTTCTTCTTTTTCTCTCCTTGTTGATCTTGATCCGTTATCTGTCTCTTCTCTTCTCTTCTCTTCTCTTCTCTATATTCTTTCTTTATTAAATTCTGTTTTTATTTAAATGCTTTCGTCAACTCTCTTTATATAATTGTCATATAATATAATTGACCTAATCGAGCATCGACCGTCGCTTAGGATCAACCACGAGTTTAGAGATAAGTTTTAAACCACGATATTCACTTAATTTTTTAAATCTACGCCTAATCAAGCCTGAAGCACAACCACTTTTTTAGTCTCTTATATCACACACGCTTTATTTCACTCAAATTAGAGCCGAGACACACACACACACACATAGAAAAACAATTAAACAATTGTGAAATACATATACTCACTAAACGTTTACACCAATGCTAGGAACGCACTTTTTTTTGTCTTCGTTTCAATGCATTTTTAGGATTCGATCCTACTATCAAGAATTTTATTTATCATTATTTATTTATATATTATTATCTTTGTTACTCGCCCTTTTTACGGGTTGCAAAGGTCCCGTTCCCTTTACAAACATTTGTTACATCTTCTCATTTCTTATTATTTAATTAATACATAACTTATAACTAACTGAACATATGTACATATTTATTTATTATTGTTTTAATTAGAAAAAAAAAATCAGTTAAATTGGACCGAGAATATTCGTGATCAAAGTTATTTTTTTGTAAGTGCAATTACATGTATAATTGGATAAATAATTTGATTTTATGTTTATAAATAATGAATTTACTTATAAAAATAAATTATTTATTTTATAAAATTCTGGATAGTACGAATCTTATGATCAGCTTTAATTAATAAATAGAACAGCTAGATAATAGACTCGTCTATTTTTGCCAACACGATCGCTAAATAGTTCTCCGCATAAGAGGCTAACTTGTTCAGGTCTATTGGACCTAAATCATATTTTTGCACCTATTACGATTAAGAATAATTTTAGGATGTCCGACAACGCCGATCAGAGGAAGTCATCGATCAGAAGATGGCGGAAGAATCGCAGCCACCGTTGAAGAAGCACTTGCAAGTCTCACTACTGAAATGGTAAGTTTAACCTCGTTGAAATGATCGATCGGATCAAATATCTTTTTTGACCTCGATCATTCGATCGTTTCTTCTTATTATTATTCTTTTTCTATCAGTAAATAAATTTTAAAAAATTTTATTAATATATTTTCTTTTATATTTAATTTAATTGAAAGAATACGTAGCAGCAGCCATCTTGTTTTATTTATTTCCGTATTTCTGGATAAATTGTGAGTATAATTTTTGTTTTCAAAATTATTTATCATTGATTTCTATTTTTGTTTATGAATATTTTAAATGTTTTTTAGTTAAATTTTGTTTATTAAATTAATGAAAATTTAATTAAATTTATTTAACACCTGAGTAAAGAAGAACCGATCGAAAAAATCAAACAAACAAAAAAACAATATACCCTATCCAGAACCATTAGTTTTCCATCATCCAATCGTCAGCTCGAGTGGCCGAGGGTTTTTTCATAGCTAGCTAAACAAATTTCCTATACATTAAAGCACCGTAACAACGTGTATGTGTATACTTTCTTTGTGTGTGTGTTTCCTCGAAATAATTGATGTTGTTAACTTTTTCATACTTTTTTTGTATGTTTTTTATATTAACATTGTCGTTTCGAGGAAGCAAGTGATTTTCATTAATCATTGTGTGATTATCCCATATTGAAAATAATTATATCCTTGATTATCCTTTGATGTATCCCTTCCTGGCTAACAAAATCAATCGAACAACACGAGGACCGTTCCAAAGTATCGATAATCATTTTTTTCTGTTTTATTTTTTATTAATAATTTTGTTAACAATACGTTTTTTATATATTTAAACAAAATGTATAATTTTTGCTTAAAATTAGAGAAAAGAAAAAAAGAATAAAAAATTTATTAAACGTTGCGATACATCGAATGTAAATCCTTACGAAACGCACAGATACTTTGACACACATATCACATAACACATATGCACACAAAGTCTCGTGTTCGCTTCGATTTGAAGCGCCTTTAAAAAATATATATATATATATATTTTTTTTTTTTTTTTTTTTTTTTTTTTTTTTTTTTTTAATATATATATTATCATATTATACTTATAAGGAGTGAAAGAAAAATCGAAACTTGAATTTTGATCAATTCTGTGATCCTAATTTTATTTTTATTTTTATTTTGTACTATATATTTTATTAAACAATATTAAATGTTTCATACACATTTGTTTTATAAATGGAAAAAAAAAATTAATAATGTTCAATGTCTAATTTTAATTATAAATTTATTATGTCTATAAAGGGGGTATTCTGGTCTAGAAATTTCAAAAAATCGATTTTTTTTCATATTTTCAAAGCTTGACGTTTTAGGAATATGTCCTCAAGAGAATTATTTAAAATTCAATTTATTTTCGGAGATATAGCTATTTTAGTGACGCTGCATCCTATATCCTACCCTTATTACGCGAAACTTTAAACGCGTTTTTCTCGAAACTGTTTTTTTTTTTTCACAATTGTCAAGATATCTCAAATTCTACTTAACCGATTTGCTTGAAATTTTTTTTGAGAGCCTTTTCTATGCATTACTCTATCGGGCAAACTAAAATCTTACAAAATTTTCAATTTTTACTATTTTTAAAAAATTCGGAGAAATAAAAAAAATGGTAAAAATAATGTATCTTTCTTTCAAACAGCTGTAATTTCGTGAAAAAAAAACTTTTTTCAATTCTTTTAGTTCGAACGATAGCGGCATTATTCTAAATTAATAATCCGTTTTAATTTTTTATTTCATATTACCAAGAGAGCTGCAATCTTGACATTTATCGCACGCTATTTTTTTGGGACCCCCTACCTCATCAGCCAATATCTTTTGCAATTTTGAATTTTTTCACTATTTTTTTTTTTTCCATGCATTCTCGAAATATTAATGAATATCTTGTAACATTATAGATAGTGAAAATATTATTCGTCTTTTTGTTATTACACTTGAAAAAGTATCTAAAATTCATGCCTCTAGACCAGAATACCCCCTAAATAATCTTTATAGCAAATAATAAATATTATTATTATTATCTTATGTCAAATTATAACAGTAATAATAATAATAATTAAAAATTAGATAAATTTGTAGGATATTCGAATTTAATTTGAATCAGGAAGGGATTGAAATGAAATTGTAAAAGAAAAAAATGGCTTTGGAACGATCCAAGTTGCGAGGAGGAAGAAAAAAAACGAAATCATACAATCTTTTTTTTCTCTTCTTTTCTTTTTTTGTCTCTTTGAGAGTGTTTGCTCTTTCACTTTTTCTTTCTCGATGAATCAGGAAATTCTACAACACGAGTGAACGTATTTTACACGCTGTGTAAAATTTAACAACTCGTCGTCGTCTTCATCGTCGACGTTGTCTTCTTCGTCTTCATCTTCGTTCTCTTCTTATTCTTTCTCTTCTTCTTCTTTTTCTTCTTCTTCTTTTCTTCTGAAAGCTTCCGTCTGTTTATGTCTTTCTTTTATAAAAAATAAAATAAGATTATTGCGTTTACGTTTGTACGTATTTTATATATGACAACGAGTTACAACAAATCATCGACGAACGATAATTTAACATAACTTGGTTAAAAGAATTTAAAAAAACAAAAGAAAAAGAAAAAAAATCATTCACATCAGTGATAGAAAGAAAGAGAGGAAGAGAGAGAAAAACCAGAAAAAGAAAAAAAAATTTTATTATATTTATTTTAATAAATTTTTGTATTAATTACTATGATTAAAATTTTAATTTTAAACATTGAAAAGAAAACATCGATTTTATATCCCTAATTTTATTTATGTATATATATATATTTCTTTTGTAATGATAATTTTTATGTAAATAATTATTTTATTGGTCATCATTAATTTTTTATATTATTTTCATTGTTTTAAATTGAAAATCTTAACTATGGAAAACCGAATACAATAGTAATTTTATTCTTAGTTTTATATATAATTTTTAGTATGAATAATTTATCTCCATCTCTCAGACTTTCTTTCTTAAACATTCAACTTGATTTTTTCTTTTTTTTTTTTTTTTTTTTTTTTTAATTTGAAAAAGTACTTAATATTTTCTCTTATATAAAATGAGAAGTATCAATTAACGTTTTGAGTCTCATAAAATATTTTTTATTAACTACTATTTTATAGAAATTTTTGTACACTTCTAATTTATATTAAATTTTATTTTTTATATGCTTGAAATAAGAATAAATTCAATTGACGATCGAATTGTTAATTAATTTCAAAGAACAAGAAGGGCGAATAATCTAAATGACATAAGCGAACAAAATAAATTTATTCCTTAAAATGTATGTCACTTATAATAAATAATTAACACATACACATACATAGGACATACTCGATAAGAAAAAATGAAAAATTGTCGGCCTATAATTATCGATAAACAAAAAAATCGTGTTAATTTTTCAAAGAAACAAAAAAAGAAGAAGAAAAGATAAAAACATAAACGAGAAAAAAAGATTGAATAAAAATTGAAAGCTAACAAAAAAAAATGGAAAAATTAAAAACTATCTGTAAATAGAACACGCACTCGCACGTGTTTGTTCAATTATCATCGTAATGGCGTGTGAATCAATATTAAAAATAAAAAAAAAAAGAAAAGGCATAAAAATAGAAAAAAAAGAAGAAGAAAAAGAAAAAAGACAAGTGAAACACGAACCTTTTTTTTAATTCTCCAATTTCTTTTATTACGAGTATATCTAGTTCAGGACTTCTCAAACTTTACCACTCGACAACTCCCTTTTACTCGATCAAATATTTTCTCAATCCTTGATATAAATTTTACGTCATTTTTTTCTTCTCTTCTATAAATTCACAGACGTACGATACTCGTAACGTGGCCAAACTAATTTGAAATTAATTTTCAGTCGTCTAGAAAATTTTTTACTATTGCTACCTCTGTACAGGATCGTTCGTCAGGGTTGCATTGAAAAGTCCTGACCTGGTTAAATGTATTTCACTTTACGTATATATGTGTATATATATAAATGTGTGTTATGTCTGTACCTTTCTCTGTATATGTAATTATAATTACCTGTTCGTAAGTGCACATTCACACACATTCACTCACTCACACACTCACCTAATCAACGATAAGAAATCGATGACAATTAAAATACGATCTGTACAATACTGATAATACTTTTAATTAGCAGTATAGAGAAGTGAGAGATTGTGTGTGAAAATAATGATAATAATTATAATAATATTAATAATAATGAAGAAGTACGGACAGGGGGGAGAGGTTAAAATCAATTCTAGTGCCGTATTTAAAATATCTGGTAATTATAGCAGTGAATTAAGTCAAAAAAAAATGAACGAATAACTTTATTCAAAATACAATGTATAATTGTTTTTATTGAAATCATTGTCATAATTATATATATACCAGCACAATTATCTGTGTAAAATTTCGTAGTGCGAAGCAAAGAAGAAAAATGGAAAAGTGTAATCGTCGCGTTACTATTGTTACATCATTTAATTATTACTATATTATGATTATTATTATTAAAAACGTCATTACAAATCATAGGGTTATCGTCTTCGACGATGGTTTCGCGTTGAAAAAAAAAAATAAATTAATTAAAGTTGAATATTAAAAAAAAAAATTGAAAAAAAGGCCAAAATGTTGTTCAACTTATACGTATTAAATATTGTATATTTATATATACATACATATATTATAAATAAACACATCTACGGGGTGGGTAAAATGTTTTTCGATGGTCCCAAAGTTCTTAGATTTTCAAAATTAATAACTATATTCAAGCTAACTTTTTGTCTAGATTACAAAATTCTAAGAAGAGTGCTTGCAAAACTGCGAACCTAATTGCAAGCTTAAAAAAAATTAATCAATTTGTATTTTTTTTTAAGTAAATTAATTTTAACATTACTTGGACTTACGAATTCCAATTACAATTAATTTTTAATATCATCTAAGAATCGTTGGGCCTGTCCAAAGGGTCTTTTGGGACCCACCCTGTATTGTATAATAATAATAATAATAATACAAATCTCAGTGTCGAACGCGCTTTGTCGAAAAAATTCGTAGTTATTGATGGTGTTTAGAGAAACAAGCAAAAAATTCTAGTCGCAGTCGTACTTATCTACTCTTAAAGATATGAAGCTTTTTAAACAACAAAAAATATTATTATTAATAATAATAAGTCTTGCTAATATTTTTTCTTTTATTTTTTTATATATAAATAATTATTATACACTTGTCTATCGTTGTAGAACGTGAACAATTTTTTGAAAAAAAATAAAACGAAAACGTGTGAGCGAAACAACCGATCTTCGAGTACATAATAATTATTAGTCGCTTTTCGAAGAGTTGAAAAAAAATATTCTATAAAGAAGGATATATTATAAGGGAGGATTTATTATATATATATAAATACATAAAAGAAAAAAAAAAGATAAAAAGCTTTAAAAACGATTCGTAGCTTTGTTAAAAATCTCTTCGACGTGTTTTATCTCGTTAGGCTATAAATAATAAAATTAGCTTTAAAATTTAAAAAATAAAAATAAAAAATGAAATCTCTTTACTCATTATTAAAGAGAGAGAGAGAGAGAGAAAGAAAGAAGATTTTCAAAAGCCGTAATATTTTTTTATCGAACGATAGCAAACGTAATTTGTCTAGTCGTCGATTTAAAAAACAAACAAAAAATAAGAAAGAAAAACAAAGTAACAAAAACCGATGTTTGAGTTTCTATCATTTTTTACTTGTTATTTATTAATTAATTAATTAGTTAGTTAAACATTACATTTATAATTATTATTATAACAATAATTATTTTTATTTAATAATAATTGTACTCGATTAGAAAGTTGACATAATTAAAAATGATCGATAGACGATCTAAATTGATACTTTTTCTTAAATATTATAAATAAAATAACATCGAAGATATATTTAAATAAATTCGATAAAATCGATTATCACTCGCTATTCTCGAGGCATTATCTCATTCGAATCATTAATCGATATAATTCATGACAATTTTTGATGTTCTTCCCGAAAGTAATAAACAAGCATGTTTCTTCTGTCCACAAGAACCCACCAACACCCCTTGCTTGGTCTTCCCCCTTTACGCCCCTAAATTTAATTATTATTAAAGTTAACATTAGAAAGAAAAATATATGTCGACATTTAAATGTAACATTTTTAAGTTGATTATTATGATAGTGATCTAATTATGAATCCTGCATGATATATTTAAATTCAATACATTCTTTGAGTTGTTAATGATTTAAATATTATTTTGTCTATAATAAAACACAATTAGATACAGGATAAAGGAGACTTAAGTTTATATTTTTATGCATAATAATTATTGTCATTTATAATAATTATTAAAAAATTATTTATTTGTAAAATAAAACAAACGGAGTGATATAAATATATTAATAATTTGAAACAATTATTTTTTAAATTTTATTTCATAAAAAAATGTTTTTATCAATGTCATATAATGATTTAGATCACTTTTATAATAATCGGCTCATTTAATGGGATTATCTCTTATCTAATTTTATTCGTATCTCTTTGTTCTCATACGTATGTGTATGCGTGATGTGTGCCTTCTTTTTATAATACGTTAAAATGACGTCAAAGGTTAAAAATCTCGAGAGCCTTAACCTTCTGTGTTTCATTATTGATATTTGCTTTAATTACTCACACCTGTTCCATCTTTATCTTTCTTCATTTTTTTATCTGCAGATTTAACTTTTGTTTCGTTTACCAATTTTGTTTCAATTTCCTTTTCTTTTTTTTCTTTTTTTCATGTAAACATGTCTCACATTTTGTGATCCTTAAACTTTATTAACAAACGATCGTTTTTAAATTAAAATTACTCTTAAATTTCGTATTTTCATTATTATCGATAAGAAGTGAGAAAAAAATTGAAAAAAATGAAAAAAAGTAAATAAAAAGTAAAAATTTATCACAGAAGGTTAAGTGTTGAAATGTTTGATTTTTTGTGTACTCTCGACAACTTCAGAGACGTACGAGCCAGATGAATGTTCGTGGTATTGGTGTTAGTGGTGGTGGAGGAGATGGTCAATCCATTCAATTGGAGCAGAGATCATCCTTCTCAATGTATCGACACTTGAGGACCAGTCTGAAACGCACCAGCTCAAATCACGTCGCGATCATGAAAACCATGCAAAGGGCACTCAATGTACGGCGTCGAGAACCTTAATTACGCGATGATCATTATTTTATAATTAAGATGAGAACAAGACAATCATTTTTTTCTTAATCCGATCTAATTCAGAAAATTAAAAAAAAAAGTATAAATTTAAAATCATTACTAAAATAATGATGAATAAGAAGAAACACATTTTGAAATAATTTATTTAATTAAATAGAATGATCAAAAAAATAATTAAATGATTATTTTAAAATTGTTTATCATTACTTTTGCAATTTATATTAGATTGTTGTAAGAAAATAATGACGAATTAAAAAAAGAATTAAATCAAAATTTAATTCCTCATTATTTATACAATGTAATCATAATATATATATATGTGATTTATATTTTAAATTAATTGAATGAGATCGATTTTGATCAAGTCTTTTTTTTTATTTATTATAATAATTAATTGAAAATTTCTGGAAAGAAGAAT